AAGTTGTCGCTTTCCTGGTAGCCCACATTGCTCATGGCCTTATCCACATAGCGTGCCTGGCCAAAAGTCTTGCTCTCAAACAACTCGATGCGGTTGGTCCGTCTATACGAAGGCAGCTTGAGGTCGAGCCGCTCCTTTGGTGTCTGGTTCTGGATGGGGAGGATCTTGGGGGTTTTGGGCGTGGGAGCAAGGTCGAGAGGTCGGACGTTGTAGAAACTGACAACCTCGCGGGTGGATCGGCGAGGGCGCCTCGATGACGGGGTTCCGGCGGCTGAGTCGTCAATGTCGCCGTCTGGACCGCGCGCTGCCTGCGGGTTGGGCGTGTTGCCCGTCGAGGCCGGGTTGACGGGCTTGGACGGCGTCATGGAGTCCAGGTGCGGCGTGGCAGGCAGCGGCGCATCCACCGCAGGCGTGTTGGGCGCCTCGTGCACGGCGACACCGTCGACGTCGTGGGCGGCAAAGATGACAAAGGGCAGGTCGATATCAAGATTCGGATGGAACTCCTCCCAGCTGCGCTCCTCGCGGGGCTTATAGTCTTCGGCCTGCTTGACAGAGGCAGCCATGGCGGCGGCAGTCCCCCATCGCATCTCGTCGCTGTCTTCGTTGGCAGCAGCCCGGGCTCGCGTGCTCCGCTCCCGCCGCGGGGGCATGGAGGGCGAGGCGCCGTTGAGGGCAAGCCGGGCCGCCGAGGTCCGGGAACGCGAGCCCGTCGTGGTGCGGGCCGTGTCGGGCGTCTGGATGGAGTCGGCGTCTAGATACCGCCCTCCGCCCCCAGGGCCGCCGGGCACATATCTACGTCGCTTCTGGGGTGGTTCCGAGGCGGCAGCGGCGGCGAGGGAGGCCTGTCTGGCGGCACGCGCAGCGTTGGTCGAGCCAGGCGGACGCCCTCGGCGCCGGCCGGTGGGCGTTCGACGGGGAGTCGGAGAGGCGGGAGCCATGATGGCCAGCAGAGCCAGCTGAGTCTATGGCGGCAAGGCGACGCCGCTGGCGACAGGTCTGCAGCAGATCGGTCGAGGCGAGGCTGCGAGCGTTGGGGCGATGTCGAGCACTCAGTCGAGGCTGGCTGGCAACAAGGCTGGCGCTCAAGGGCGCGCGCACGGGGGACGAAACGAGGCCAGACGACGGGCCTTCGAGGATTCTCGGGGCTTCAGGCGGCCCCGTAGCAGCAGCTCGAGCGGGCGGGTTCATGTGCAGGGCAAAGGAAGCCCTCGTGTGGCGAGCAGTCGATGGGCGATGGCAGCATCAGGGGACGACGTGACGTTCAAACTTGGCGGGCGGCTCTGCCCTCTGCTGGAATCTCTTTGGGGGGGGGG